TCTTTGGGATTTCGGGGCGTTTCTATGACCGGATGGTTGCCAGCGTTTTGAGGTTGGTGATTTTGGGCCTGGGGTTTAGGGGTCTATTGGACATTGTAGGCGATGCGCAGACAGTACCAAGCTAACTTGCAAAGTTGCGCGTCCGCAAGGTCACAACAAACCAGGTGCCAAATGATCACGGGCTCCGTAGACCACAGAGTCTGCTTCATGCAAATCTTGACCCTGAGCTAGTCAGGATCGTGACTGAGTTCTGTGAGCACGGCGATCTGCGACACTTCTTGACAAAAGGGGCGGGAACGACACTTCCACCGAATGCCCTGCGCGAGCCCCTTGGCACTGGGTGTTCTTGGAGTGACTTCTAAGCACACGCCGCTCTTGATGACACATGGGAGGAGACGCACAATGGAATGACTGGTGCCACTGTTGAAAATGAATCTTCAAAAGCACGTATTTGCTGATATTGCAGAGCTGAGGCTCATGCACGAAGTCGCTCAAGGCATGGCGCGCATTGCTGGCCACCTGACTTAAGGCTGATCCAAGCCCACGACATAAGCGTCTGGATTTCGGGACGTACATTTACAGTTTACACATATCTCAATAACAGACAAACCAGAATCATTTCGTCCTTGAAGATGCCTTAGCTTGGTTGGTTTCGAAAGGTGGGGGCACAGCAACGCGATCTTTGCAGCGTTTTCACATTCCTGCCTGTCAAACAACAGCGATGGCAAGTCTTCGAAGCTCGTTTAGCCTGTGTCTTCGACAAACAGCGGATCCTGTCAAAATCTTATCAAATCTAGACGCATGTCAAATAAACTCGACGTAGCAGCAGTTGTGCAGTTCTGCCAGTTCTGCAGCTTGGGCTTATCACGAATCAGAGCCAGCTGTGCACATAGCAAGGCCGTTGCATGCACAGGCATGTGTCAATCACATATTCCGAGCTGCGCGATGGGGAACTGTAGGTTGAGCTCAGCAAAGTAAGGACAAGAAATGGTTCATCGTGACTTGAAGCCCGAGAACGTTCTCATTGCCAAGGGCCCGATTGCCAAGGCCCGAGTGAGAAGGTAGATTGTCATTTGAGAAACGGCTTCTGCTACGGTGATGGTTGTACGTGCTGCTCTCATCATCAACGACTGCTGCATTCTTCCATCTGAACCATCCTACTGTCATCGCTTCTGTTGTGTCTGTCACTCCTTGAAGCTCATTGCTGATGCATGTTTGAATCTGCTTTTGCTTTTTTGCTGGATGCAATCGGGAGTGCGCCCTTGTGCGACCAAAAAATAACCATCAACACACACACACACCCATGCTCTTAAACATAGAGGAAGGAATGCAGTCTCCATAGAGTGCCGGTGTGCTCTTTCACTCTTTACCACAAATTGCCAACATCCAAAGCTCGTTTCCAGTTTTACCGAAGCGCCTCTGAGAGACGTTGACATTGAAGCTTGCTTTCTATGACGCCGATCTCTTGAGATTGCAATCTCAATCCGAAGACCCCCCAAACTCTATAAAGCGCTGAACCCCAAGTGCGGAGGTGGGGGACTTTGGCTTGGTGACTTGGCCTGACTTGCGCAGAGGTTCAGCATTGTCGACCTTGAAGCTGGAGATTCGCTTCTGCTACAGATTTTTAAAGGTCAGTCTGCAAGAGGGAAAGCAAACTTGTCAGCTGTCACCAAAGTTGCAGGGTTGCAGACAAGCCTAAACCCCGGATGGATCTTGGATGCCAGTGGCATCACCGGAGGGTTGTGCAGCGCTGGCATTGGTGTTATGTACAAATTGTAGTAGATGCCTTCCGAAGACGAAACGCACGGAGACAGCGACGGTTTGTAATGAGTTCGTCCAAGAAGGATCAGGCCAGGTTCGCAGAGCTGAAGCATCCTTGCTGTAATGCTGGAGGCGCGGTCTCTTGCGACGTGCCAGAGCGAGCGGTCAGCAGCGGGCACACTCCTCTACATGGCACCTTGGCCGGACTTTGACTCCTAAGGATTTGATTGATCGGCATTTTGCCAGCAGTAGGATGGCCAAAGCCGTTGCAAGCCTGGACATGATTGAAGCACTTGTTCACCGCCGAGCTGAGTGGGAGGAGGTGTAAAAGGGCTTTCGGGTTTAGTAAAAACGTGACGTGCCATCGTACCGGACACAGGACTGGGTCTCAGATCTGTCATCACGGGTGGCCCCAAACTGCACATAGGTGTTTCCACCACCGCATAAGAGGTTGATTTCGGACGGACGCGCAAGCAAACAAGGTAATTCCATTATCATCCATTGTCGGAAAGTTCGAGGAACTAAATTGGCATGATACGCCCTGGAGACTCTGGAGACTCTCGTACGAAAAGGGTATTTATAAGGTCTGCAGGAAGCAACATCCAGCTTAACTACACAGATCAGAATCAGAACTGTTAACACGAAACTGGCGGGAATGCATGCACATACCCAACTCTTTCGCCAGTAGGCGCCGGAGAGTTTCCTGGGCGACGTCAGCGAGAAGAGCGATGTCTACTCTTTCGCTTTGGTCATGGGCTTCACATTTGGGATGGAGGACTGTGCCAGAGGCTTGTCCAAGTTGATATCACTTTCATGCAGGTGCGGGTCAGGGCGTGTGATCTTCGAGTGGCAGCCTGGCAGCCCATGTGTGGTGGCTTTCGAAAGTGATTTCTGCTGCCGCGAGGAGCTGGATGTGAAAGCCTTAACGAACATGGATCTGTGCGCGTGCTTGGCGCAGCTTGCAGAGGAGCCTCTTGTAGCAGACAGGTTGCCAAGAGTCTAAGACTAGCAAGGCCTATGCTCGCAGCTCTGATACCAAACAGAGCGGCCAAACTGCTGATTTTCAATAGAAGGACCCAGCGATCGTGCAGCGCCTTGTTGTCGAGCACATTCGGCGTGGACGGCGGCCACGAATCCCGGACGCGATGCTCGCTTGCACTTTGTCAGGTTAACAGAGTGAATGCGATGCTGTGCTTTGTAACATCTCGATTTGTCACAGTCGTTGCAGCTACAAGTAATACGACACGAAGGATGCCAGGGCTCATCAAGGCTACGGTGACGGAAGCTTGGGACGAAATGCCTGGTCGACGTCCGACCTTTGTGTCTTTGTGCGAGTCTTTGACGCAGCCACTCGTGGAACCAGAACTTGAGCCTCCTCCAGCTGCAGATGTCCAGTTCACAGAGGTGGTTTTGCAAGTCGTCGAAGCAGAGCCCAGGGTGAAGAAGGTCAGGAAGCAGAAACCTCCACCGCTTATCGCAGAAGAAGACGCAGGCGGCTGTTGCTCGATTCAGTGATACAGTGACATGCAGTAGTTCTCCGATATTGCCGTGGCCTTAGTAGTATCGGATGCATAGGAACCGAATTAATGTTTTAAAGGCCGAGTGCTGTCGCAGTCAGCAGCGATACGCGGCAGCACATGCGATTTTCCTGCTGCTTGCATGACCTACATGTCAAGTGCTGGCCGATTGTTCCGAACTGTGCCCTGGAGTCCAGTCATGTGAGTGATAAATTCCATGCCCTCCGAATCGTTATGGATCTATATATTAAATCTCCCCATCCAATCTGATTTTGACCTCCAGCGCATGGAGCAATTCACCCTGCTTAGCTGCAGCTGGGCACCCAATGCACAAGTCAACGGGAGCCTACGCGCAGCGCAAGCACAAGTGCAGGCAGCTTGGCTTGGCAGGCTCAACGAGCGTTTCTGGATCAGAAATGGAAACCCTCGCGCCCGAGTCGTTTAACTTTAAATTTATAAGTGCCATAACTGCAATGATCACTGCGCTGACGCACAGCGAGTCGAGAAAATGATGCGCCAGCTTGGCTGTGTACGGAGGCTGCGCCGTACATCGTTCCCACTGCATGCAGCAATGAGGGTAGGTGCCAACTCTTCTACAAAAAAATCCGCGGGGACGTCGATTGGGTTGAACGGTGGTTGAGGCTGCAAGTCACGACGTTTGGTGAGAACGTGGTATAAGATTCCACCTAGCCAGAGCCATGGCCCTGCGGTCCTATTGGACGCCCTTGCAGTGGCGCTGGGCGATGGCAGTGATGCTGGCACTGGCTGTGGTGGCCTTCTACTTCGTGTACTCGTTTGTTGGGCACCTGGATAATCCTCCAGCACAGGGTATTGGCCACAAATAGTGCGGTTAGCACATGCATGATCATGGTCAGGGGACGTCAAGACAGTCCAGCAATCCTTTCTCGTCACGTTGACAGTACTGCCAAGGTACATCTTGTTTTCCGTGTGGGTCTACTTCATGGGGCGCACCGTTCTGAGCAACCAAGCGTCCCCAGCGTCCTGCTCGCTGCGGCTGGTGCAGGCAGGCTGTTACTCAAATAAAACTCCGACACAGGCAAGGTGCGACACCATCACAGCTGAATGCAACTGTGGGATGCTGTAAGCTGGTACTAAGTGAAGTGGAAACCAGGTGCGGGGCGCGTATGTCATACAAAATCTCAACCCCAAAGATGCCGAAGTTCAGGAATGCGCATACGGATACCCGTCGCACTCCAAAAACAAATGTTGACTGTGTTGATCCTCCTTTTCGCGATTGCCTGTTGCACAAGTCGGCTGACTGGGGATCCTATCGGTTTTGGCGGTTTTGGCCTGGTCCCACCTCCCGTTTCCAACTGGAGGTCTCACAATAGAGCGGTGTATTTAGAAAGGCCAAAACTCTAAACACTACAATACTACAATGACCAAGGCAGTGGCCATCCTGTCCACCACAGCCATGATCACACTGATTCCGTGGATATTTTTTGGTGGGCAGGAGGGTTGCAGCGAGTTTGATCCAGCCATGGAGACAACATGGGGGCTAAGCTTTGAGGACTTCTGGTGTCAGCTGTTTATTCGAATAGCGCTAAGCTGGACTCTCACTCCAATTGTGGTATATCTGCTTTTGGCCGATCACCCGGCATCGCCTTACATCCGCGAGTCTATGCGATGTGTCCTGTACATGTACTTTGCCCAGCTGCTGAAAACACTTGGCACAGCCTTGACGGAGACAACGTCCGGGAAATGGCCTACGAGCATGACCCTCTAGCTGGATTCGCTTCTGCATATGGGACAGGTGCAGCCTTCCTCAGCGATATTTGGTGCTTGCAGTTGGTTGTGGAGAGGCTGCAAGCACTCGAAGAAGCTTATGGCGAGTCGTTGCCCTGGTCCAAATCCATTTTGTGGATGTCGCGGCTGAACATTCTAATCTTCTTCGCACTCGCTGCGGCGAATGTGAGCCCGCCAGCTGCCTCCCTTGTAGTCAGCATAATCTCGACGCTGAGCATCGGAGTCATCACGTTCCTGATCTGGCAGGCCTACACCGTCCCACTGCAAGAGTTGCGAGAAGCGTTGAGACTTCAGGCGTTGGATGGTGTGCTGATTCAACTGCACAAGGAAGCGAGGTTTGCCATGAGGGTGATACGCAAGGCTCAGATCGCCCTCTTATTGGCCAGCTTCTCCATGGGATGGCACATTGCAAGCTGGGGTGTGTCCTGGGTGATTACAACGCAGGAGGCAGTCGATGCCTTCCAGTATGGTGCCATGGTCGACACACTGGGAAACCCACTATGCATGCTGCTGCTTATCAACAGTTCCCTTCAATTACCGAGCTGCCCGAGCTACATGCCGATTCAATCTGTGAATGCCGAGCTTCCAGAAGAGGAAGATCTGGGCCGGGGCTGCACCTGCGGCAGGAGAGTCGGAATCCGACAGCGATCGCAGTCAGAAGGGCAGGCGGACGTGGAAAGCTGCGACAAGTGTGCCTGGGTGGAGAAGGTTGCTGAGATCGGTGACCGTCGAGTTACGGTCGGTCAACTCCTGGACTTCCACGCCAGGTTGAGATTGGAGGGCCTCATGTCCCATTTCGATCCGTTGCGATCGACGACAAACGACGTCGCCCGGCATGCCATCATCCCTGAGTCACGGTGTGGAAATGTGGGGAAGGCACTGGCCGAGGTTTGGGCTCAAGGATCTCGAAGCTCACTCCGCATGGTCACTCACCACTGGGCCAACCGGTTCAGCGACTTGGTCTCTGCGGTGGTGGCAGACAGCCTCGGCTTGAAGCGCTGGGACAGCATCGCTGAGAAGCTGGCAGACAGACAGGAGGCAACTCTCAAGGAGAAGCTTTCGGTTAGATGCTTTGGGTTTCAGACGATGAGCCGCAGTAGACTTGGTTTGAGCTTCAGACTAGACCTTTGAGAGGGCCAGAACTTTTTTCGTTTGTTTCGCTGGCATCGGCGTCAGCGGTCTTCTGCTCCGACGCAAGCAGATTACGGGGTAGTTTCCTTTTGTCATATTCCATGATGGAGAGGGCAGTCGGAATTGTTCTGTTCTATGCAGTTCATAAACACGAGCTAAACGCGCACACAACATGCAAAGCAACAAAGCAACACTTGCCATGGGCTTCTGTAACACCCGTCGTGCACTTTTCCGCGCATGTTGGTCGCTGTGACTACAAGGCCCACACAAACATCAGAGTCCGTCAGAATGCAAGCAACTTGCACATGCAAGCAGTTGAAGCACACAGGACAACGGCCAATTGATGTAAGTCTTGCATAATATCTCAACGTCAGCCTCCACATTGCAACTGCATCAGAAGTTTCAGGTTGAACCCTTGCAAGTGGTATTCCAAACGTGAGCGTTTGCAGTGAATCGGGCAAGTTCCGACTCAGCGCCTGCTCGGGGAATGTCATTCGGTGATGTGCCGTGAGAAGGAACTGATGTGCGCTGTTTCAGGGCGACGCGACCGAGCCCTGGCATGTGTAATGATTGTAATGCTTTCTTGCTGCACCGAAGGAGCGGCTTCTGGACTGCGGTGCCCTTCACCAGAACTACTGGATCTGCGCACTGTGCATCAACCAGCATGCAAGCATTTGTGGCAGCGCCTTGGGCGTGAGAGACACTGTCACTGGCAAGGTGCTTCCGTCGTGCGATTGTGCCACGCCGAAGCACTTCAACGACCAGCCTATCCAATGTGAGCTCAACAAGTTTGACAGTATGATGCTACACCTACACCGCCATGATATGCAGGGCTTCTTGCAAGTCGTGGCCGTTGACCAGGGTTTCAACCTTTTTTCGCGCGCCTGGTGTGTTGCTGAGCTTGTGCAAGCAAGCAGCTGCCGACTGGATCAACATGTCATCCTTCACTCACCGGAGGTCCTTGAGAAAAACTCGGGGCGTCTGAGCTCCCTGCGGGTGGAGGACTGCTGCTCCTCGCGGCCAGAAGATAAGGAGGCCATCCTGTCAAAGATTGGCGGGAAGGATGACATCTTTGAGTTTAACCAAGGTTTGCAACAGCTTCTCTTGGGTTCGCAGGGGCTTCTAGCAGGATGGCTGGACGGCCAAAGGTTGTTACAGGAGGTTGGAGCTATCGCTGCTCGAGCCAAAGCTCGTACCTGCCAGCCTTCTGACAGCTGCGCCCCGCAAGTTTGACTGGAAACACCCGGCAAGGGCAGGCCGTGCGGGCGATGTGTTTGGACAGCTGCTGGGACTGACAATGAAGCGGCGCAAGCTACAAATTAGTCAGAATATTCCATCGTTTGTGCTGACTAGACGTGACACTCCCTGCCCGAATGACTTGCGAAGATGTCAGTATTTCAATGTGTAAGCAACCCTTCCGTTGGCATCACCTTTTTGATCGGGTCCACAGAAAAGTCGGTTACCACATCCAGGCTTCACGACGTGGAAGAGGATCTTGGAATGGGCAGCGCGGGGCCACTGAATAGTAGTGGCCTTGCACGCGTGCGGTCGCCGTTGTTCACAAGCCTCTGGCAGTTGCCTGTTTTTTGGAAATGAAAGCGCCAGGTGCACGTCCCATGAACAACAAGTGCATGCCCCCCCGGCGATCTTTGGGCGCGGCGAAGAAGCTCAGCTCCAGCTCCGACGGCGCCCTCCGTCTCGGCCACCTCGGCGAGTCGATGTTGTAATAGCAACACTAACATTGTCACGTGGCTCGCCTTCCGGAAGAACTGTGGGGCTCTAACGGCTCCAGCCTGCTTCTGGCGTGCACCAGGGGCCTTCTCAGACCGCAACCAGCTGCGTGCGCGCTGCAAACTTCTACTCAGGGGACACTTTGCCTTGCGTTGCTTGTCGCCATGATCTCGATCCTCTTCCTGATGTGTCTGATTGTAGCTTTGCATCTGAGTCGAAATTGCATTCCACTCTTTTACGACCCTCGCATCCCCTTCGAAGCAATGCTTAAGCCGAGGGAGCTTGGGGCGTCGTGGTTGAGGCCGCCTTGCACATGCGACCGGGCCGCTATAAGCTTTGAACGGGAAGCGACGCGGAAGCGAGATCCACAGTCCAAGCCCAATGTTGAGAAGTTGATCCCGAAGAGGGGGGGCCTCGCTCTGAAATGACGAGCGAGACTCCGGCGCGTCTTCCGGAGAAAATGGTTGCTATCAGAGCAGTTGCGCTTTGACGATGCTGTGATGTGTGGAGTCAAGAGCCTGCTGTGCATGCACATCCGCTATTTTGGCTGGCATCGGAGTTTGGAAGAGAACCGAGGTACCACCCAGGCGAGGCGTTCTTGTGCACCACAATTGTTACTCTAGTAGCCTAGATTTGGTCAGCTTAGTTGTCAGGCACGGGAACCAGGACGAGAGCGACATCTGCTTCTTAGACTTACGAGCAGGGCTTGGCAACAGCTTCCATGAAAGCCCATCTATACTTTGAAAGCAAGCAGGGACAGGGTATTTAGGGGACACGGTCATATCTAGATAGAAATCATGGCTTTTTCTTGACTGTCTAGATTCCAGATATGGTCTGGATCTGATCTTGGGCTTGTAAACTATAGGGTTGCGGCTTGCTAAATCCAGGCATGGTTTAGGTCTCGAGCCTTTGAATTGGGCACGGTTTCGTGTGTGTGTGTGTGTGTGTTCGTTCGGTGGGTGGTCGCTTGGAAGGGCCACTCGGGCTATCCATAGACAGAAAGTGCGGGGGCGGGTATGATTCGACATGATCAAATTTTCTGCAACATATGATCTTCTGTTCATTGTGCTCACATTGCAATTGTAGGTTTTGACTTGGGCGCATGATGTTTCTATAACTGATACATAAGGACGGAATTACATAGCACATAATAACTGAACCTTGTAGGTCACAATCGTAAGCTATTCGGAGTCAGGACACTCGCCTATGGCTATGAAGCTATGACGATCATTAATGACGAGCTATACTCCACACCATGATATGTTGAAATAAGAACGCACCAGTTGTGGAGCCCTGTCTGTTACACTGTATTCACAGCCAGAATGCACTTGCAAAAGAGACCGCAACACATTGTGCGGATGTCTAGAATCCAAGTCCTGAGGTTCGAGATGCATGGTGCCTACATGCCAGTGGAGTCGCCTCGATCAGCGGGCCTGGTTGTCGCGCCCTCTTTTTGGATCTTGGTGAAGGAGTATACCCTGTGCGCCAGGACCTGAGTTGTTCGACCTGTCGTTTCAAACTGCCTTTGGATCGATGCAGCTGCATTGCATGACCAGGTTTTTTGCGTTTACGATTTCATCTCTGACATCTGGGTTGCGCAAGCGAATGCCCATGCGCGTCAGACGCAACTGCGCAACTTGGGATACACCGGCGCCCTTCTTCTCTGCGTTTCAGGCTTGGTGAACTGCTTGGTCTTTAGGAGAGTGCGTAACAAACATGAGCGGCTCTTCCAACGGATGCTCAAGAAGGCACCGCTACAGTGGCACATCTGCCGGTTGCTGGCCTGTACCAACCCGGAAGTGGTTTGCAGCTTCCTTGCCACCCAGATAGACATCGAACACCCAGGGGAAGCGCATGAGATACAAGTTACCAGCCGCGAGCTCAAGGAGCTTGGCGTCATCACCCAATCCTTCGAGGACATCCCACAGTTCATCGTGCAAGCCTACTCGGCATTTCTTTGCGTTGTCAATGGCTGGACATTGACCTGGCAAGTGATTGCGTCCCTGTGTGCTTCTTCCACCATGCTCTTAATCAAGTTACTCATAAACCGCTTGGCTGGAACCTCAGAAGGGGATGCTTGTTGTGCTGACTGGAGCCCGGCCGTAAGATTGTCCTGGACAATTTTTGTCCTTGGCTGCCGCCGCAAAGCGGCTGCCGATGCTTCACTCAGGTGGCGGCAGTTGACGCCCCGGTGAGTGATGCCAGCGTGGCCAAACTTGCAAGCTCGGCGCAGCGCCACGTCAAGGCCCTTCCGGCACTGCAGCCTCAAAGACAAAACTGAGAAAAGCCGCTTCCGGCACTGCCTCCGACAGAGAGCGTGCAGACAGACTACTTCCCCTGGCTTCTGGCAGGAGTTTCCGAGCCCCATCACGGCATGGAACATCGCCGTCCAGGCTGGAGTGCGGCGAACCCCCCGCAGCTGCATTCAAGACAGTCCTGGCTCTGCTTGGCCCACCTCTGTTAGAGGCCGTTGTCACATCCTGCAACATCTCGTTTCTTCGTCATGCTGGTCCGATTCCGCTGCCATTCCCGGCGTTGGGGGGATGCTTGGCTGGGCATTATGAACTTGCTCTGCGGTTTGCCAAGAGTTCGCAGAAAGCTGCCGTGCCGGGAAGGTCGCGTGGCCGGCTATACGGTCCTCTTCGCGTCCTACTTGTCGGCAGTGGCGATCAGCGCCGCAATGGTCAGGATCACACTGGGGGCCGGGGGAGGGGGGTCTTGTTCAACGCGAGGGTGCTGAGTGTGATGGAGTCTGGTTTCTGGTTTTCCCGGCGGTTTGCTTCAAGAGCCGCTGTGCAAGAGGAGCCTGCGCGACCGGCTTTGGCACATCCTTTACTGGCCAGAGCTCTCGGCCTTCTGGGTGATGCTTTCGAGCCTTCATCCGGCCGCTCTTCTTCAGATCGAGGCGCATCTTCCGGAAGTTGGTGGTTGGTGGTGGAAGTTGCTTCTCACCGGACCGCTTCTTCGTTCCTTGGTCATGGGAGGTTTGACCGCGTGGGGTACCTGGAAATCCGAGTTCCCGGTGGCGGAGGAGCTCTGCATCGCCTTGTTGGTTTTGAATGGCGTCGCTCTGGCAGAGCTCCTGTCCTTCGTCGATGACACCAGCAGTGAGGAGCTCTTGGGCTCGGGCAATTCCCAGCATCGCCGATTTGATGGAAGT